TTCCTGAATTTTATCACATCTCCCCCCCCCCCCCCAACCACACCCTTTGTTTTATCTAATTACCATTTACAAGGGCTAGGAAATTAACTACCAGCCCTTTGGATAATTCTCAAACCTTTTTTTACTTCTGTAACGATAGACAGTATTGCGTATCAACTGAAGAATGCCCACAAGATTAGGAGAAGATCCTCTGAGTAAAATTTTTCATGCAAGTCCTTCATTTTAGTGCCTGGGGCAAGAGTAAATTAGTTCCCATATGAGGTCAGGCATGGAAGAATTCAGAACTGAGAAGACCTCATCCATCTTGGTAACTCATGTACAGTAACCACTTAAGCATTCATTAGGCCAATCTACCTCACAAACTGGTGCTTAAAATGTTATCCATTATAGTTTTGGGGATCTTGAAATGCAGATACAAGTGGTATCTGCTGACTAAAAGAAATGCCTCTAACAATTAATGAAAGTCAAATCAATTCTCAGAACTTCTGGAGTGCCAAACATCAAGAAATTTTTCAAATTACTATGCCTTTGAAAAATAGACAATCTGGAGCACTCTTATCTGATATTCACCAAGGTGTTAACAGATTAGAATACAGTAAAATATCCCTTGATAAGAATTGGCAGGATAGGTTCTTTTAGTGGTATTACTGTTTTCGGCAGATTAACTAGCAGAAAGTGGGTCCAGCATTCTCAGTGACCTCGTTCCATTATTCTTTACAGGATATGCCCACAGAAGGTGCTGGAATTGAGGTCCTGTTCCTGTCATTTCTAATGCATTTAAACTATCCATTGATGAATGAATTAACCAGAGAGATTTCCCAAAGTGCTCATTCTTGCCCTAACTCTGCTTATTTATGGCACTGGGTGCTCTATTTATTGACCTCACTAGTAACGCAGGCCAACATCATGCCCTCTAGAAAATGTCTCTGTAACAGTCCACATACAATATATATCTTAATATTGGCTGCTGTGGTCAGTAAAAATAAGTGTTTGGCTTCACCGTGTCAGGACTAATACTGCTTTACCTCACAAAACAATGCAGATCATAAAAATAGAACCCAAACCCTGTAAGGTGTCATTTGGGGAGTCGTCTTTTGTTTCACGCTTTGTAGG